GGGAGAGCGGCCGGATGCGTCGCGGGGTGCGTGCAGCGGCCAGGTGGAGGCGCTGCACCGGTGTTGTAGCGCCATCCAGTGGTGCGGTGGCGGTGGACAGTGGTGACAGGCAGTTTATCGAGTGAGAATCTTTCTGAAGAACTAAAATAAAAATAAAAATGTTATCTTCACTCTAAATATACTTTAGTTTACAGCATTAACGACGATGCATCAGATCTATTGAGATATTTTTTGAATATTCATCTATTTTGAGGGAACGTGTTGCAGTTTGGTCGGTTTATGACGAAGTATGATTTAAAAATATATATATTTCAGTTATTTTTGGGTGAGGGGGGCTGCTATCTGTTATCTGTGTAGGTGGCTATGGCTCAGTAGTTACAGCGGGTTGTCCACTACCACAACGTCATGGTTTGATTCCCAGCTCCTCCATTCCCTGTGCTGGCAGTGTGAGTGATAGGTCATAGAGAAAGTACTGCACACCGTGTGATTGTGTGTGTGACTGGTCATCAACACAAGAAACACACTATACAAATGGTACATTTACCATTTATATTCAGCCTCCCCTGTGACACACATGAAAACCACCCACTGATCGAACTACTTCATTTCATTCCCATCTCACAAACTATATAATGCACAAAAATAGAAAAATGGGGCGAGAAAAACAAGTTTCCCCGTCACGGATGATGACCTCCCATCAGCAACATGTCTACAGCCCCTTACTCAGAAAACCGTGCATGTCACGACATACATTATAGACTGACTGCTCTCCAAGGTTATGATAATACTTCTGTTTGACTCTGACGCTCGACTCCCGCTCTCCTCAAGCATCATCGCTGCCCTGTCTACAAAGGCTTCCCCTCTTCAGTAATTGCATTATCATCTCTCCATTTCTCAAGCAGTCTCTTTTCGTCTGCAGCCCCGAAAGGCAGGGATGGGTGGAATAATCGATACCAACCTTTAAAATAGCCTGTGGAGATATGGAGGCAGGCATTTTGGATTTGAATTTGATTGATTTCGGACACTCTCGGAGATTGTTATCATCATAAAGGCAAAGTCATCTGCTACCTCGCAGACACACACACACACACTCACACACACACACACAAACAAAGGGCAGAAGACACAAATCCCAGGAGACTCAGTACAAAAAAATGTCAACCCCATTATTACTAACATTTAAAGCTGATATGTGGACCAGAGCTGGGCCTCACATCACTTCATAATTGCCTATGAATAGTGAGGCTGTTATTTTGATTCCAATGTCATCAAGTTTCTTTTTTCTATTCTCTCTCTCTCTCTCACACACAAAGAGAGGAGATGACCTCATTAATCTTTAGTGCATCATATAGACCTATCCTGTCATCCCCCTGACACTGTGGTTTGTGACACAGCTCCTGCTCATTAAATCATATGACAGGATGAGGTCAGCCGCGAGGTAAGGCTTCTCAAGCTGTGCGGCACCAGATAAAGCAGCATCTGTTTGAGAGCTCAACAACAAATGTACTGTTGGTGGCAGCGGAGGTGAGTCACAAGGTAATCCCCCGTTAGTGAGCGTTTGCCTTCAGAATCGAATGAAAGTCTCTGGTTTTGTCTCTCGGAGGTCACACCGCGGGGAGAGGCTCACTTCCACAGCGAGGTGTTTGGCACGTCACAGACCACAGCTTGCTGCCTTTTTAGGTCTTGTTACTCTGGGTTGCTGCTTGCATAACACTTATCATCCCCTCTTGTCAACCTGTGATTATTTTCACTCCACACTTGTGGGTGCTGTGTGGCCCAACATTGATTGCAAAAAATAATAGCACCCTGCAGGGAGCAGTGCGAGGCCTCTGTCTGAACCCTCGCTCGCCCGCACCACTGGAGTGTGTTCGAAGACAGTGGGATGTCTTGCAGAAAATTGCAAGAGGAAAAATAGGAGGCATAATGGCCTCAGGAATGGAGCCCGCCATCAATAATGCAGAGGAAGCTGCAGTTAATGCCCCCTTTAATTCAACAGGTCTTCAGACACCGGGGCCAGTTTTTCTTCCTCGGTTGCAGATGCTCGATGAGAGGCAGCTACATCAGGCTTTATGGCTTTGTTTGCGGTTGCACTGCCAGGTCTTTCCACCCAACCTCAATCCCGATTGCCGAGCCATTAATGGGTTTTCATCAGGGGCTCGCCTTAATGGAGTTTCCAACTTCACAAACTCTCTCAGATACCAGTGGGGAGCTTTAACAACAGAAGAAGAAGTAATGTCCACACAAAACCATTCAGTATGAGCTCAGTTTAGTCTGGACTGTGAGAGAATCCTAGTGGTTGTGATCAACAAAAACAGACGATAGCAGTCAATCTTACTCTGCTAATATCATACATACAGGACATATGTTGTTTTACAGATCTTATCTAATGATCACAAGAGAATACATCTTCTGTCAAGGTGAGAATTGTTCATGTCAACCTAGCATGAT